TCTTTATCATCTCAGTTCAAACTGGTCTCGACCTTTTCTTTGTTCTTCTTTGTGATCACATGAATGTTCAGTGAAGGAGTTTCTCTCCTTGCTCTATTTTAGCCATGAGCTCTGTTTTTTTTTTCATCTCCATCAGAGACTCAACTCGTTGCTTCCAGCCTTCTTTGCCCTCAGATTTCTCTTCTTCAATAAGCATGTCGATGTACTCTAGAGTGGACAGAGGGTTTGGCTCCAGTGATGTCTCTTTGAGTCTGTTCAGACACTTGGCAGATCTCTCCGTCAGTTTCATCACTTCAGCCTGCAAACAGTCGTACTCAGCCTTCAGTTTGTCAGCCAGTCCCTGAACAGTCATCTTCTCTCCTCTGGCTCTATCATACTTTTCTTTCAGCTCTTTTATTGTTCTTTTCTCTTTAATGTCTTTATAGCTCCATTTATACTTCTGATTAAAGTGCACATTCCAGTAACATTTGCCTGGACATACTGTACAGTATCCATTTGATCCCATTGCTGGACAGTTTCTTAAACCCTCAGGATTTGCTATGGTACAGGGATAGTGACAGGTGACATGACACTGCTGACAGTTGGTGATGTAGTTTCCAGAGCCAGAAATGTCCTCCTGAAAAGGCTTTTTGACAGTAACTTCAAACTCAAAGTTCTCATTTCTGCTCATCTCTGCTTCATATTCTTTAAGTTTTTCACTCGTCTCTTTTATCTCCTCAAGCTTGGCTAACCCAAGTTTCACCTGCAACTGCAGATTCTCAACTGAAATCTCGAGCTGCTTTCTTTCTCTGAGGACTTCCTTTGTCAGTGTCAAGCTTTTAGTTTCTATTTTATTCAGAGCAGCAAAAAACCTCTTCATGCTTTTTGTCCCCATCTCCCAAAACATCTTATCAAAACCACCTTCTTCTTCATCGTCATCACTCATGCTTTCTGCTACAGCTGATTTGTTATTTGCAAACAGCGCTGAGTTATTGAATTTGAAGTGAACCGGCAGCCCGTCTGTTGTTTTAGGACATGGGACTCCTGCAGCATTGATCGCCTCCAGAACTGGAGGTCGCTGACCGTCTGCAAATGTCACCAGAACCCTGATGTTTTCTGCCACATCTTTGCCAAAGA